CTCCTGATAACCTCAAAACGATCACAAGATCAAGAACCGTGTCTAGGAAACGACCTTGGGTATGGTTACCGGCACGTAGAACTGATTGGAGGCAAATAGATTAGAAGTCAGCCAAGCTTTTGAGAGAAGCTTATTGCCAAAGAAACCATATGCCGGAACTCAACGACACCAGCTTTGAAGGCCCCTAGGAGGGCATGCTCCCCGGCACTCGCTTCAGATGCAGCCATAGAGGATATGGACAGGAAGAGCCTCCCACAGGGTGGACAGTGGGCCAGGGAGCTCCTCCTAGAACGTAGGCTCTGGGTGTAATTAATGTCTCCCCAGCAGGATTCCAGGATTACTACAGAGTGTGACTGCTATGTGTCACCCATTCTTCCTCTTTCCAAATGGGAACGTTTACGGTGGTTATCCTCTTCCTGCCCCAACGTTGTTATTAGGGGCAGATAACTTTAGTTTACAGGTCACTTAACCAAGCAGAGCCACAACCAGGCTTGAGAGAACCAAACATCACCCAGATACTCTGGACTTGGTGCTGGACACAGTGATGAATGGGATTTGAGTCTTGGGAAAAGGGTGTGCCACAGGTCCGGCAGCAGACAGGGAGACAGGAGTTTAGTGTTCAGGGTATTATGAGGGATCAAAGCCTGGGGAAGGTAAGAGGAGGAAGGGAACAATCAAACTGCCTTGCAAGCCCGAAGAAGCCTCGGCTGACCCTATCAGAGTTGTCTCACAGGAGCCTGAAATGGCTGGACCTCCATAACACCACCTCCATTAGTTATTGGATGTGGGCTGCCCCAGGAAGTACCAGATAGCTCTTTGCAGCTGAGGCAAACTCTGCAATAGCTAACAGCTGCAGGCTGTCTACCGACGGCACTCTCAGCCGCTAGAGAAACAAGGCCTCTCTTGAGGGGGAATCTCGTGGCATGTGTCTGCGTGCAGTACAGGGTGACTCTGTTCCCTGTATGAAAGGAAAAGCAAAACAGATAATGGGTAATCAGAAGTAGACTGTGAGAGAGGCTGGTTATAGGTTCACCGATCCTGTTCCTTCTTCCCAAGCACAAAGGAAGATTGAATTTCCCAGCCTTCGCGCAGTTAGGCTGGTTCCATGGGACTGAGATTTGGCCAATGAAGCGTGG